TGAAGAAGATGGTGATGGTGATGAAGATGAAGATGAAGATGAAGATGAAGATGATGGTGATGATGAAGATGATGACAGTGGTGAAGATGATGAAGAAGATGGTGATGGTGATGAAGATGAAGATGAAGATGAAGATGAAGATGATGGTGATGATGAAGATGATGACAGTGGTGAAGATGATGAAGAAGATGGTGATGGTGATGAAGATGATGGTGAAGATGGTGATGAAGAGGTTGGTGGTGGGGAAGATGATGATGAAGATGGTGGTGATGATGAAGGTGATGATGAAGGTGAAGATGATGATGATGGTGGGGAAGATGATGATGAAGACGGTGGTGATGGTGAAGATGAAGATGATGGTGAAGATGGTGGTGACGATGAAGATGAAGATGATGGTGAAGATGGTGGTGACGATGAAGATGAAGATGATGGTGAAGATGGTGGTGACGATGAAGATGAAGATGATGGTGAAGATGGTGGTGACGATGAAGATGAAGATGATGGTGAAGATGGTGGTGACGATGAAGATGAAGATGATGGTGAAGATGGTGGTGACGATGAAGATGAAGATGATGGTGAAGATGATGATGGTGGTGAAGATGATGGTGGAGAAGATGATGATGAAGACGGTGGTGATGGTGGCGGTGATGGGTGATGGGGAAGATGATGATGAAGATGAAGATGATGGTGATGATGAAGATGATGACAGTGGTGAAGATGGTGAAGAAGATGGTGATGGTGATGAAGATGATGGTGGAGAAGATGATGATGAAGATGGTGGTGATGGTGAAGATCATGATGGTGTTGAAGATGATGGAGAAGATGATGATGAAGATGGTAGTGAAGATGGTGATGAAGATGAAGATGATGGTGGAGAAGACGATGATGAAGATGATGATGATGGTGAAGATGATGATGGTGGTGAAGACGATGGTGAAGATGATGATGAAGAATGGTAGTGAAGATGGTGATGAAGATGATGGTGGAGAAGATGATGATGAAGATGGTGGTGATGGTGAAGATGATGGTGAAGATGGTGGTGATGGTGAAGATGATGATGACGATGGTGGTGGTGGTGAGGATGATGATGGGGAAGGAGACGACGAAGGCCGGTGGGGGAGGAGCAGATAGAGCGCCCCCTACCTGTTGAGGGCGTTGCACATCTCGATGGTGACGAGGACGGAGAGCGCCATGGTCATGGGCACCGGGGACTCGAAGATGTCGCAGTCCAGCCCCTCGAACTCCACGTTGTGCTCCGTGCACTGCATGAAGTGCGTCTGCGGGGACACGGGGACGTCACCGCGGGGGGACACCACCGCCGGGGACACCTCGGGGTCACCACGGGGATGGCAGGGCCACCAAGGGGACCTTGGGGACACCACGCGGCACGTCACCACGGGGATGGCAGGGCCACCAAGGGGACCTTGGGGACACCACGGGGACCTTGGGGTCACCATGAGGACCTCGGGGTCACCACAGGGATGGCAGGGCCACCAAGGGGACCTTGGGGACACCACGGGGACCTTGGGGTCACCATGAGGACCTCGGGGTCACCACAGGGATGGCAGGGCCACCAAGGGGACCTTGGGGACACCACGGGGACCTTGGGGTCACCATGAGGACCTCGGGGTCACCACAGGGATGGCAGGGCCACCAAGGGGACCTTGGGGACACCACGGGGACCTTGGGGTCACCATGAGGACCTCGGGGTCACCACAGGGATGGCAGGGCCACCAAGGGGACCTTGGGGACACCACGGGGACCTTGGGGTCACCATGAGGACCTCGGGGTCACCACAGGGATGGCAGGGCCACCAAGGGGACCTTGGGGACACCACGGGGACCTTGGGGTCACCATGAGGACCTCGGGGTCACCACAGGGATGGCAGGGCCACCAAGGGGACCTTGGGGACACCACAGGGACCTTGGGGCCACCATGGAGACCTTGAGGCCACCATGGGGATGGTTGGTCCATCACGAGGACTTTGAGGTCACCAGGGGATGGCAGGGCTACCACAGGGACCTTGGGGCCACCATGGGGACCTTGAAGCCACCATGAAGAGCCTGGGGCTACCATGGGGACCTTGGGGCCACCACGAGGTAAGGACCTTGAGGCCACCATGAAAACCTTGGGGCCACCATAGGGACCTCGGGGTCACCATGAGGATGGCAGGGCCACCACGGGGACCTTGGGGCCACCAGGAAGA